TGCATACATGTTATACGCACACTATATACACATTATATATATATATATATATATATGCATTATTTAATGGTATATTAGTCATATATAATGCATTATATATACATGTTATATTTCTTAATATACACAATATATATACACGATATATACTATTTATATGTACGAGTTATATGTTTTTCATCTTTTTTCATATGTAGCTTGCTGGAAGAAGTGATGGAAAAAACACTGAAGATACCACTGATGCCTTTGGATTGGAACCAGATAATCTCAATAAGAACGTGCATACATCACCGATAAAGGAATCGGTACTTTCTCAATGTTTTTATGTAATATCACTGATATTTAATTTCCCTATTATTTTAATGAAGTTTGCATACAGATAATCAATTTCTGTATTTTTTTTTTTTTTCAAGTCTGGGCATGAGAGTCTTGTTAATGCTACCAGAACGAAATCAGAAGCTCTCCAGAAACGTGCAGAAGACAAAGTACTTTTGCATTTTTTTTTTAAAATATATATCCAGCTTAGTTAATATTAATGTTATATTAGACATATATACCCATTATATATACATGTTATATATATTTGTTAAATACATATTATGCATACATGTTATATGCACACTATATACACATTATATATATATATATATATGTATTATTTAATGGTATATTAGTCATATATAATGCATTATATATAAATGTTATATCTCTTAATATACATAATATATATACATGATATATACTATTTACATGCACGAGTTATATGTTTTTCATCTTTTTTTCATATGTAGCTTGCTGAAAGAAGTGATGGAAAAAACACTGAAGATACCACTGATACCTTTGGATTGGAACCAGATAATCTCAATAAGAACGTGCATACATCTCCGATAAAGGAATCGGTAATTTCTCAATGTTATTATGTAATATCACTGATATTTAATTTCCCTATTATTTTAATGAAGTTTGCATACAGATAATCAATTTCTGTTTTTTTTTTTTTTAAGTCTGGGCATAAGAGTCTTGTTAATGCTACCAGAACGAAATCAGAAGCTCTCCAGAAACGTGCAGAAGACAAAGTACTTTTGCATTTTTTTTTCATTGTCTCATAAATTTACGATCATTTTGTATACCGTATGTATTAACAATATTCATCCATGTTATATATACAACATATAAATTTGATAAATATTGTCTACATGCACTAAGTCATCAAGCAGTATATATTCTTTTGGATTTTTTTTTTTTTTTTTAATATGTAGCCTGCAAGTAATTATGGAAAAAAGACTGAAGACGCTACTCATCCATGCGGATTGCAAACGGATAATCTCAAGAAGAACGTGCATTCATCGCCGATAAAGGTCTCAATAATTTATTAATATTTCTTATTTAATATCATGATATCTCTAATTATGCGGCCAACCTCTGAGGTTTCAAAATCCAAATAATCAAAAGCATGTGTCTACTATTATATTTATGTTTTTAATTTTGTATATCCTTTTAATTCTGTTCAGGATACTGTTGTTACTGCTTTCCGAACAAAATGAGAAGCTCTTCAGAAACATGCAGCAGATAAAGTACTTTGCATTTTATTTTTTCATTGTCTCATAAGTTAAAATTTTTTAAGAATTATATAACAATTTGCTATGTGTTTTTCTTTACTTAGCCTATTGGAGTAAGTGGGGATCACGCTGTTAGCATCCCGACAGATGATGATGATCTATTTGCAACAATCAACACTCAATTTCTAGCTGAGGTTGACAGATCTGCAGAGGAAAAAATAAAAAGTGCCTTAAGAGAAAAGAATCTGGTAACACACAAACTTAATTTCATATATTTCATTTGTAAATTATGATAGTTTACTATATTACATGTAATTATCATGTATATATTTTGTATATTTTCATACCACATCGAATGACTGTCCATTTCAATGTTTTCAGGCAAGTGCATCAACTTCAAGAGGCCCGAAAAGAGAACCACATCCAAAATGGGGTTTTTCACTCGATGGATCTCAACCTTCGTTCAGTGCGATCACACACGACCTACCACCTACACCACCAGAATATGTCGCCCGTCCCCCACCGCAAAAATCTGTAATACATTTTTTAAGAAATACATAGTTATATACTTTTACTTCATATATATGTCTGCACATTTATATAATGCAATACACTTTTATTGTTATTTTTCCATACATATTGTTTCAGTCTGAAGTTGGTACGGAGCAAAGAAAAAGAGAAGATGAGGGTGAAAAGCGTAGGAAATATGTTGAACCAGCCAGCAACGCACTTGTTGTCTTTGGAGATACAGTGAAAAAACCTAAGTATACTATTATTTCGAGACTAAAGAATAAAACAGACCCTCGGCCGATAATGAAAAATTTTCTCCAAAACTCTTGTCCGTTCGATGTTGATTTCTGGAGAATATCTACCATTGATCCGGACACAATGGTTTACAATATTTGGATGGACACGGGCGTTCTGAAACGGCCCCGAAAAGTTGGAGATGGGTTAGTGTATAAAAGTAGTTATTAATCCCTTTTTAACTGTTATGTGTTCAATTTGTATATACATATTCGTAACATACACATACATCATACACCCATTTTATTAATATATACCTTTGATTGTTTTATTTTATTAGTCGTGATCTCACATGCCATATTCTTTTTTTAGTTTAATCATGATTGAAAATCCATAATATGTGTTATAATTTTTTGTGCAGTTACATTTACTACGACGCGAAGAATAGGAAGTTGAAACCGCCGTTTGATTTCAATGTTACTGTTGTGACGGATAAGAGCTGGTTTTACACTATACATGAACCGGGAAAATTCCTTGATAGTAGTGTGAGTGTTTTAATGTTCATCAATGTCTTTATTGTTAATGACATAAAATAAATATTTTTTTTATCATGTAATATGATAATTTAAAAATTCTTTTTTTTTTTCATATTTCTGTTCTATTTTTGAACTAATGACTGTTTATGAGAACTAAATTGCAGCACATGGATGTTTTGTTCTACTATCTGCGCAAGAGCGGGTTGTACGGGACGACGACCCAATTAAGGTTCACAACAACCGATGTGCTATTCGACCAGCACATTAAGGCACTATATACATCGTTTTTGGGAAAACCGCCCGGCCAGGTTGCATGCTCTGTCGAGGACATGATTATTGACTATATTTTTTGGCCACAAGATTATATGTGGAGTTTCGTGGTCTGATGTCGACCACGTCCTTTTCCCGATGCATGTTGATATTAATGGAATTGGACACTGGATTTTGGGGAGACTGTCTTTGGACGACATGACGTTGTGGGTTTATAATTCCATCAAGTCTGATGACGTTGACAAGATCGTTCTAGATAGTGTTCAAGCTTATGCCGTGATTATTCCTATTTACCTACGTATGATTCACTTCTTCGAGAAGAGGCCTGTTTGTAACACCGATGCGGATGGGCGTGTAAATTTCGACGTGAATTCACCTCTGAAGATAACTGTTGTTCCCGATCTGCCACAGCAACAGAACAGGTACTTTTTTCAACCCAAAAAAAATGTGTGTATATGTTATGTGTATTTCTTGTGTATGTTCTATGACATATATATTTATATATTAATTTCTTTTATGTCATGCCCTTTATTTTTATATTTGTTTATGCAG